ATTTACTTTTAGTTACTTTTGACGTCCTTTTTGGTGTTCAATGGTTTTCACAATAGTTTAATGCATTTGATCAAATATTTTATTTGCTAAGTTGTAGATCTTGACTTCAGCTATAACTTTGCTCGCAACGTCATTTTTTGATATTATTCATAAACTGAATTATGCACTGTACAAAAAGTAGTTACTTTTAAAAGTAACTACCGGAAAAAAGTAACTAATTTTTACGTCAACAATTCTTCATCTACGTCTCATAACTCGGTTCATGAACAGTATCAAAAAATGACCTTGAGAGCAAATTAAAAGCTGAAGTCAAGATCTACAACTTAGCAAATAAAATATTTGATTAAATGCGTCAAACTGTTGTACAAACCATTCAATACCAAAAAAGACTTCAAAAGTAACTACTGCCACCCCTAGTTACAACTGAACAACACATACTTTCATTACATAGTAATATGAAAGTGTAAAACATTTTAGCATTGAGAATTAAATTTTTATCAAAAGCTTTGTGTCTTTTGTTCAATCCTACTGAGGACCATGTCAACAGCAGATCAAATAAATCGAGGCATTGAAATTTTATAAGGGAACACTCATGATTTTCTCTTAATATTAGAGATCATTTCCTGAAGATGTCTGCTAGTGTAGAATTTTGCAATGGAAATAGTTTTTATGCAGTTAATTTTGCGTATAATGTTACAATATGATAAGCGAATCATCTGGCAAGTCATTTTTCAGTTTCAAGACTAATGTTCATATAATCTTTCTAATTTTCTTTTAATAAATACGGTCAGCTATTGACAACTTTGTATGCATTTTTAATTATCTGTTCTTGAATAATCCAGCAGTTAACTTTGGTCAGAACACATTTGTTTTCAACTAGATTTACGATTGTTTCTCCATGTAGAAGTCACTAAAGAAAAAACTACTATTTTTTGGCACTGATAAAGGTGTTTTTTCTTTGTAGAATTACTAAAATGAAATTTTTAATTTTTTTTTTTTTTTCAGTATAATTTTCACAGGCATATTATGTCGTAATGAACTTATGTTATTTCAGTTACAAACAAGGAGGAAACAATATATTCAGGGATTGTCGTACTCCTTCGTGCTCTTCGGCACTTCTCACTGAGAAACAGCAGATTTTATGATTTCTGTAACATACAAATCGACTCGTAGTACCTTGATTTTTTCAAATTCTCTTGTACTCATGAAAATTTTTTAAATATATTTGGTAGGTTCGTCGAGTTTGCAGAACTTGTCTGATTGTTCTTGAATTTTTGTCAACTTATTCCCACTTAACTCGTTTCATTAGATTCTATTGAACCTTCTGAAGTTGTGTCTACATTGCGATGGACTCTGCGAAGTCCATTAGTATTAGTGATTCGTTCTGCTGTTTTTGAAAGACACTCCATAATCTATAAGTATTGTGTGATCTAGAATTCTAATGTTAGTTCCTAGATTTTTTAACTTAATTCTGGCTGTTTCAAGTCATGTATGATAGGATACACTGCAAGCATGAAAAGTAGCAGTAGAGCGCAACAGCTAAGAGACAAGAAGTGTCACGCGTAAAACAGCAAGATTTTATTGGCTTGTGATATTTCCTATACGCTAGCTAAAAACATCAATGTCTGTAAGTGGATGGAGCTGAAAACTCTTGGATACAAATATTTTATACTGAGTTCCATAAATATGACATTGCTTTTTTTGTTGAATGAGATAGATTATTTTGTCAATATTTGCCTGGTTAATATATGTTCAAATGAATATTTTCATCGTTTACTCTTGACTTTCATAATCACAATCATTTATTTTCATTCGATAGATTCACGTCAGTTTTTCAATACATGGCTCGGGCGCAAACGAACAGTTACTAGCCGAATACCCATTGGTCGACTTCTTGCTACAGACATTGAATGTAGCGGAAATACAAGATGTCATTTTAAAGTATGTATATTTATTTACGAATCAATCGATTCCATTTCGATTCACATCATTGTAGATTAAACTTCTACGAACGAAAGAACGATCAACTCGCGATAACAAAAGTAGTTGAAGAAATCGAAAATCATTATCAAAATCAACTGATGAGACAAATCCATGTAGTCGTTCTTGGTCTGGATGTACTTGGAAATCCATTCGGTCTTATACGTGGAGTTGCGGAAGGTGTGGAATCATTCTTCTATGAACCGTACAAGGCAAGTGTTGTCAAATCATTTCCTTTTAATCAAATTCTATATTTCTTCTAGGGTGCTATGGAAGGCCCAATAGAATTCATCGAAGGAATAGCAATTGGCTCTCGAAATTTGCTTGGTTCCGCTGTTGGTGGTGCTGCTGGTGCTGTTTCGAAGATTACTGGTGTGGCTAGCAAAGGTTTGGCAACGTTAACATTCGATGAAGATTACCAAAATGCTCGAATAGCACGTAAAGAAGTGGCTGGACATACAGTATCTGGTGTAGTTCTAAGTGGAAAAAATGTTGGCAAGGTTCGTAAATTGTACATTATTATATTATACATGCTGTTTTCTTTAAAGGATATTGCCCATGGCGTTAAGGGTGTAGTGAAGAAGCCTGTTATCGGTGCCAAAAAAAGAGGTGCACCAGGTTTTGTAAAAGGTTTAGGTAACGGTTTTCTCGGACTGATCGCGAGACCGGCCAGTAGTATTGCGGATTTTACTAGTACGTCATTCGATTTGATAAAACGGTTAGTGCGTTTCCTATTATTCAGATCTTTCAAATAAGTTGTTTCTTTATTTTTCTCAGAATGGCAGTGCATGAAGAGGCTGTTCATCGTGTTCGAAGTTCACGTCATGTTGGTCGAGATGGCATCATTCGACCTTCTACTGCTCATGAAATGAGAGGATTTTATATTTTTAATGTTAGTGTTTGACAAAGTTTCTTTTCGACTTGAACTCTTTTTTGTATTCATCAGACACTCGACGATGAAAAGTACACCAAATCCGACGGCTACATTGCGCACATTGATTGCTCTGAAGATCCACCTACTTGGCTTCTGGCTACTTCCAAGTAGATATTACCTGTTATTGTTTGAAAAAAACAATATTTATTGCTCGTTTAGACAATTGTTATTTTTAAGTGAAAAAACCACGGCGTCCAATGTCTACGAAGTTGAATGGGATTGTCAATACAAAGAATTAAAAGGGCCACCTATTGTTAAATTCGAGCCAAATGAAATTCAAATTGTTTTCAAAGTAAGCTCTATATCCATCCATATTTATCACTGCTAATCAAAGTGTTGAATGCAGATAACAACAAAATATGGAAAACTTTGGTTTATTTGTTTTTGAAAGGACCCAGATTAAGGTTGTTTTCTTGTTTTACAGGAGCCAAAAGTGCTTGGACTAATCAAAAAAGACCGATCGCATGAAAAAACGGTCTCCTACCGAAATGCTGGCGAGGCTCGAGTATGTCATTTCTCTTTGTTTTTAATTTTTTTCAATCATTGATTTACTTCTGTTTTTTTGCTACATTAGTATATCGTCGACAAAATCACCCAGATGATGCGTGCAATGGAACTTTAGTCTCATTTCGTTATCTTTCTTTCAATTTCGTTTTTTTTCTCTTATTTCAAGGATATTTTTTATGGTACTGTCAATTTATATCTTTCTTGTACAAACGTACGCAGCAACGAGAACTCGATTGTGTTTTCATTTCTGAACTATTGTAACCGTTATCGATAGCATGGATACGTTCTTAAGTTATTTGTTTATTCCCGAATGTTGTATATTTATTCTAGCCTTATGATAATAAATATATGTGTTTGTCAGACTCACAACAACTCTGACTTCTCTTTTCTTTATATTGACTATGCCATTTTCAAGAGAAAGACTCAAATCCGCCTTCACGCACACCCCAGTAGCTAGAGACACTCAAATGTGTTCAGAAATGAACACCATATTACTTGAAGTTCTTATTTCATTCTCAATCCACACAAATTCTATTGATGATCATTTCTCTCATCAAGAACTGGTAGATAGTGTGATTGAGCTCATGTGTCAATTGTCTCGACAAGGTAATGATTGATAACTAAAGCAAAGTTTCTTGCAATCTATTAAGAAACAGGAACTACGACATTAAATTCACCTTGCGTTGAGATCAATTGGCAGAAAAGAGGAAGTACACTTGAGTGATGAATTCATGAATCAATTTTCCAGTTGATTACTGATTGAGTCTTTCACCGTTCGTCATGTCTACTTAAATATTCATCGAAGAAATGAATCATGACTTCGCTCGACTGAAAAAATTTCATTTGGTTGATTCGATCTGATATAAGACGACGGATTGTCTTTCAAGTGCGACATTTTCTTCAAATCGATTTTAACGATTACTTAAACGATGCATAGTCTCTCGTTTCTCCTATTGATCACCTGTTTGATGGTCGTAATTGAATTCACTACATGTAGAAATCACGGACATCAATTCAGTTCGCATCAATCTGGAATCGAAAAACCTCAGCGACCGGAGCGTCCTAGGAATGAAGAAAGTGAAAGTTCGGAAAGTTCCAGACATCGACCAGGAGAACATCGCCATCGAACACGGACAACATCTCCCAGCAGCCCGCTTACAGCAACAACTACCCAGCAATCAATCTTTTCAACAACGACATCATCGAGTTCGATCCTGAGCAGTGAGACAATTGTAATGTCATCTTCGACTATGCCAGTTGTTAGTGATACACTAGATTCAACAACGACTGAATCCGTGACAATTACTTAGTACTGTGATACAGACTGCATTTTAAATTAATCTCGAACTCTGATCACCATTCTTAGAAACATTTGAAAAACTGCTCACATAAAACAGCTATGGCTGCAAATTTATTTAAGCGTTTGCTTCGCCAAATAAAATTCATAAGACATATATTTAACAAAATGAAAACCTTTCTATTTGTTTGTTATGCTATTTCTCTAATATCCAAATAGAGATGCAGACTTCTAGTTTAGGGACAACCAAATTTCAGTAAATTGGCTACTAACTATCCATTCTCTCGTTCCATTCATCCTATCGTTTCTATGTCATCTGAGAAAAACTTGTTGATGGTTGTGCACTTTTTGGTCAATCGATAAGAGACTCCACCGAATAATCTATTACCATTCAAAAATTACCGTTTTTCTTTTGACACAATAAAAATAAATTGTACGTTGTAGAAAAAGCAACAAAAGATATCAATACTGCTCATGTAAAAACGGTGATGATAAATTTTGTATCATAATGTAATGACGTCAATTATAATAGATTATAATTCTTTTTTTTTCGTGAGAAAAAAACATTATCATCTGATTAATATTCGACATATTCATATGATAATTCAGAAATAATCATTACTTTTGATTATTATTTTCATATGGATGAACTCAAAATAACACATGGGGCAAAAGATTTGCATTAATTCAGTTTTTACGATCGCATATTAATGACTTGCAGTTGTGACTTGACCATTCATTTGTTAGAAAGAGCTACGTCTCTATTATAAAATTATGTAAAGAAATTTGGTTCGAAACATTGATCGAAAGCTGAAAATTTTACCACCATGTTTCAATGGAAAAACACTTCTCAACTTCATTTAAAATTCGTAATAATAAGCACACTTGTTTTATATGTTTTAAAGTTTGCTCTCGATGTTTTAACACACATTATCTGTGGCTATGATTAATCCAACGCGAGTTTTCGAATTAAATAAAAATATTCGAGTTATCAAGTCATAAGTGTCAGAGGAAAACGTTTTACTAAAAACTTGATTATTCATCTACAATGTCCAATGAAATACTTTTTGTAATGTCTAACATAGAAAGTATATTCTGTTTCATATAATGTGCTTTTGTCACAAAGATTCAAATAAACTACAATTGCAGATAAAATGTGCAGTTTCCATTAGTTTCAATGTTAAAAAGAAATTTTATTACTTCTGAAAAATTGGTTTTATAAAAACATGTTAGAAAAATATTCATTTCAAACTCATCGAGTTACAGTTTTATCGTACAGATTTTGCTCTTTCTAACAAGAAAGCAATTAACTCTATACGACCAGTCATTATTACGCTATCTTAAAAACGAAATCGATGAAAAACTTTTCTCCAATTCGTTATTTTGAGGATGTAAATAAGTGGCTTTGGTAAAGAGTTTCTTCTCTCGCGTACTCACATTCATCTACTCACCCATGCAGACTTATAATTTAAATGCTTCTCATCTTTAATTTTGAACAAAATGACAGAAGATTTTACAGCGATATTCAGTAGAGTAGTTGGCGCTGATTAAGGACTTTAACTGAATCACTGATAAAAATAATTATCTCTTCTTTCATTATCTTGTCTTCTGATCTCAAATTCGATTCATTCATTTCCAGAGTCTCTCTCTCTTTCTGTTGTCTCTATCAACTCTTTTAGATTACTGATTGACATGTTCGTTAAATAAGATCAAATCAGACGGCCAAAGAGATTTCTAAATAGAGAAACAATCAATTTAACGCACGGTTCAGCAAGAATCTCTTCTCAACATGTGTTTCTCTAAAGAAGTTTTCTTATAATTTGACACGGTTTCTAACTAGCAAAATGACTTTACTATTCAAATGGGTAGTGGGATGACATGTTGTCCAGCTGAGATGTTTTTTTCGAATTTTGATCTAATTTGATATTTGCTGTACAATTGATTGACTTCATCGAATATCTTCTTTTTATCTACAAGGCCGGTATTGAATTCTCAGTATTTCAAGTAAGAATTCAATACCGACCTCACCTACTCTGGTCTAGTTCGTTTAGAATCGAATAAAATCAGTGAAAGAAAAAGCATATATATATCATAAGAAGAAAATGTCTGATAAAAGTTAACTTACCAACAATAACCATTAAGTACTGAAGTTAGTTGTGATTTCGCATACTGACATTAGCCATAGTTGAAAGACAAATGAAAATGTGATTGATTCAAAGAAAAAACCGATTTTTCGCGTTCTGATGATGATACATTCATAGAACTTTGATAAGAAATTTATTTGCCAAAAAGAATCTGAAAATAACACAGTTAGTTGTGTCTTAAAGACAAAGAACATTAAGACGAACGATGATCGAGTACATAACGAATAAATTTAAATAGAATCCAATTAGATCATGTTCAACGGTATTAGTGATCAATTATTTTTCAAAGAAGATTGAAATAATACAAGCCATCAGCAAATATTGTACGATATGAATCAGAATGATTCAGTCATCAGAGTCATTCAATGGAATTTGTCATTGTCATTTATGAAATCATTTGCCTAATAAGATTCGGTTCAGCGAACTAAGGAATGAGTCTTCAAAATCGCATTGATCAGTATTCAAATCAGTAACAACGACGTTTCCTATCGACTCACTCGATAATATCACTTCTTTAAATTTACAATAGATTATAATTGAATTCGACATTTACGCAGTCAATAATTCATCGATTGCTCCTTTTTCTTTATTAAATCTGAAGGTTTAAAAAAAATATATACAACGAAATTCATATTTATTGTTTTTAAAATACAAAATTTTTCAAGCATCCCATTTTTTCAAATATACAAAATAAATCTTGAAATATATGTAAATCAGTTACTGATGTATTCTTATCGATTTGTTATATAGGCATTAACACTGAATCGATTATATGAATGACACCATTACTAGCCAAAATATCAGATTCGATAATTGTAGCATTATTAATTTTGATTTGGTCACCTTGTTTAGTTACTGTAATAAAATCGCCGATTAGCGTTTCTAAACGTGCTGGTAGATCCATTTTGAGTAGTTCACTTGAAGTCAAGTTTCTATTACCGACGGCATGATATGAAAGTAATTTAGCAAGTTCATCCTTATTTTGAGGATCTGATAAACGTTCAGCAATATCAGTCGGTACCTTTCTAAAAGCTGCATCACTTGGAGCAAATACAGTAAATAAAGTACCTTGTTGACTTGCTTCTTCGAGACCAGCAGCTTTTAACGCCATAGTTAAAATTTTAAGTCGATCATCTTTGTTTACAATTTGCCAAATATTCGGATGTTGATCTAAACAATAAATTAAAAGTTATTAAAATCAAACATACAGTTGCAATCTATAAAAAGAAAACAATATTACCTATTACAGCAGCTATTTGATGTAGAACAGTCCCAAATAGAACTAAAATCATTGCTGAGTTCATTATTCTGGTATTTTATATAATTGGTTTTATTATGATAAGTACAAATCAGCGTTCAAGGATACTAACTGTTCCATTATATATATATACGTATGAGCAGAAAGAAACTTCAGTCGATAAACCATATTTACGTTCTTTTTTTTCTTTTTAATATTTATCCTGAAGTAGTTTGTAAAGATTAAGCTGAAAGAGTAAAATATCAGACAAATATTTGCAACACAACAGAAAAATAAAACGTATGTTAATATTAAACTGTTTCTAGTAAATGAATAAAGGTTTAAGAAAAAATACGTACGGAGGATTACGTATCAACGTGAATCTTTTTTGAGGTTTTTCAATAATTACCGCAATCCTATAATGTCAAGATAAGTTAATCTTGTTTTTTCGGTAGTATTTATAATCTCAATGGATTATCTACATTCAAAATAGTTATGTAACATTTGTAGAGTTACTATTTTTGAAAACAATTTGATAGAAACAATAATGTATACGTTGAATCTCTCATTGGAATCTCGAATTTGAGTAATTTAAATTTCAGCAAAGTGAATTGATTGTCTGTAGACGAATACGAGTAGTTGAATATTAAAAAATATTAAGATTTCCATGCAAATATATAATAAAAGTCGAAAAATGAAAATGGTCGAGATATTTTCATGCACAATAACAAATAGAACATTATTGATTTGATGTGTCGCAGATAAGTTCATTAATTGAATATCTCAATTGTGAGACAGTGATCAGTAACATATAAGTCAACATCTATAATCATTCGAGAATAGTTCGCTCATATATGTTGAACACAGCTCAAGGTAGGTTTACTGATAGAATATTTATTTTGTTAACGAAATAGGCCATAAGAATAAACAACGTTGATTGGATGTCAATTCACTGTTCTCTAGAGACCAAAAATATTAGGAAATCTATCCAAAAACTGAAAAGATTTGAAACCTCTTCACAAAGAAACACTGAAGTAAATTTTGAATTTCTATATTTCGTTTGAAATTCTTTTCCGAAAGTCAAAATTCAATCTCTATACTCTAATAGTATTTCATAAAATATCTGAAATCCAAAAATACAATATTCAATGAATTACAAATACAAATATCTAACTAGTCAATATGTTATTCTTATTGTATGATTAAGCTAAGACTATCATTCAAGAATATAATTGATCTTTTTGAAATTAAATTTCAAAATAGTCAACGTTCTCAAAGAAGACTGAATCGTCTTTAATTATCAGTATTTCTCAGATGATTGAAGATTATTAGATGAGCAGTCATCCTATTCCGCAAAGTTACACATTCCTGCACATTCCTGCATATTCCTGCATACGTACATGTATTAATGTTCTACTTAACACTGCGATAGAAATAAAGATGCAATTCGGTTTTAGAATTCCGGAATTGGATTTTTATGGAATGACCAGGAATTCCTGCACATTCATGCACATTCCTGCATATTCCTGAACAGNCATATTATTATTCACCTACTCTTTCATTAGCAGATTTTTATCATGTTCAATATTCAACATCAGTTGATTTAAGTAGCAATGTTATTATTACGGTTATTCCTAATTTAGGTTGTTCAGATGATGATTGGATTTCAGCACGTCCATATCCTCTTGGTATTGTAGCACTTGTTAAACGAGGTGATTGTACTTTTGAAAGTAAAGCTCGTCTTGCAAGTAAATACAATGTTGCTGCATTATTAATTTATAATGATGGTACAACATCTAGCAATATGCAATCTATTTATATAAATCTTGGTCAAAATAATCGTGTACCAGCACTTTTTCTTTCATATAATGTTGGTCAATCACTTGCCACTGCAGCAAGTGATCCATCAAAAATTACAACTGTTCGTCTTACGATTGTGACTGATAGTGCATGGAATCCTGTTGGAAATATTTGTGCAGATACGTTAACAGGTGATCCAACTCAAACAATTATTATTGGTAGTCATAGTGATAGTGTTACTGCTGGTGCAGGTATTAATGATAATGGTATGTTATATATTTATATATTTATATATTTCATATTAAAATAAATATTTTTTCTTGATTTTTATTTTTACAGGCAGTGGTACTGCAGCTAATCTTGCTTTAGCTACTACTCTATCATATCTTTTACAAACATCAGATTATGTTCCTTATAAATATCGTATTCGATTTTGTTGGTGGGGTGCTGAAGAATTAGGTCTTCTTGGTGCCAATTTTCATGTATCAGAAGCAAAGAGATCAACTGTAGTTGGTGAACGAGTAAACGACTATTTGGTTAATATTAATTTGGATATGTTAGGATCACCAAATTTTATATTCGGTATTTATGATGGTAAAACAGCTCCGAGTGCTGCTCCAGCAGCTGCTAAACCCGGAAGTAATAAAATGACAACATTATTTCAAGATTGGTTTATTGGAAATAAATTTCCTTGGGATTATACATACTTCGATGGTCGTAGTGATTATGGTCCATTTTTAGCTGCGGGTGTAGCTGCAGGCGGACTCTTTTCAGGAGCCGACGCATTAAAGACAGTAGAACAACGTAGTCGATACGATGCTATGCTGGGAGCAGGCTTTGGTGGAACTTCAGGAATTCGACAAGATAAATGTTATCATGAATCGTGTGATACAACGAGTAATATCAATAAATTTGCTCTTGATAAAATGGTGCAAGCAACTGCATATGCTATTGAAAGTCTTGGTCGACAACCTGAGTTAGCAAGTTGGTTATATCCTGCTAGAGAAATTCAAGAGCTTGAAAGACAAACACCACAGCAAAAATTTGAATACAATTCCATTAATGAATATTTTGGACTACCTTATAACTAACATTTTCATTTTGAACTTTTTTTTTCATTCACATATATCATCATAACAATTCGCTATTCAATCTATCTTTCATTTTGTGGGTGTCGCTGTGGGTGTGGGTGTCGCTGTGGGTGTGGGTGTCGCTGTGGGTGTGGGTGTCGCTGTGGGTGTTGGGTTGTCG